TTCCCAGATCGGACGTGAGAGATGGACGTTTTGTAATTACATAATGCACAGCGTAAGGGACAAGCCAATGATCAAATCACACACACACACACTAACACGCGGCAAAAGACACTAGCCAATCCTCGCTGCGTGGCCGTGATGTCACCACAGCGCTTGTGCCAGGCTAGGTGCGCCGTGGTGGTGAGATGTTAACCACCTCGCCTTAGTATACAGGAGGTCGTGGGTTCGATCGCGAGCCTTTTTCTCCGGGTCCTCCGGTTTTTCCCTCCACATTTAAAATTATGAACGGTAACGGTTATTAGTCGCTGATATTGGGCTGTGAGCGCGAATCGAACTCGGGTTGGCGGATGGTTCGTAGCGCAGGGCGCTAACCACTGCACCACCGCTCCCGACTAAACACACACGAAAACACAAGATTACATTGACAATCTCAAACACAAACACACCTTGCACAACCCGGCATTCACGAAGACACAGATATCCGCTATAGCCACTAACAGCCCTTGTTTTGACAAGGGCTGTTAGCGAGCACCTATGAAGGCCGGCACGGCACACGATGAGGTGGGTGGCCAGCACCACGCCCGGCCGCCTTTGTCGCCGCAGTCAGTGGCGATGTTTGCACACCGCACCAGGTACTAATTTGAGGCTAAGTCTACCTAGGGAAGGCCCAGGATCGGTTCAGATATTCGTCACTGGTGTTGGCCCTGAGCAGCGCGCAAACCGCTACGCCAACACTCGCCAACTCGCCCACGCACTCACCCACTCATTGTCGCACAAACACTGTTGTGACCTGCAGTGTGATGGCTGAACAGTGTAAACTATTGAATGGGTGGGTGAGTTAATGGGTGAATGCCGAGGTGAGTGGGTGAGTGAGTGGGTTAGTAGGTGAATGCCGAGGTGGGTGGGTGAGTGAGTGGGTGGGTTAGTAGGTGAATGCCTAGGTGAGTGGGTGAGTGAGTGGGTGGGTTAGTAGGTGAATGCCGAGGTGAGTGGCTGAGTGAGTGGGTGAGTTAGTAGGTGAATGCCTAGGTGAGTGGGTGAGTGAGTGGGTGGGTTAGTAGGTGAATGCCTAGGTGAGTGGGTGAGTGAGTGGGTTAGTAGGTGAATACCTAGTTGAGTGGGTGAGTGAGTGAGTGGTTTAGTAGGTGAATGCCTAGGTGAGTGGGTGAGTGAGTGGGTGGGTTAGTAAGTGAATGCCTAGGTGAGTGGGTGAGTGAGTGGGTTAGTAGGTGAATGCCTAGGTAAGTGGGTGAGTGAGTGGGTTAGTAGGTGAATGCCTAGGTGAGTGGGTGAGTGAGTGGGTGGGTTAGTAGGTGAATGCCGAGGTGGGTGGGTGGGTGAGTGAGTGGGTTAGTAGATGAATGCCTAGGCGAGTGAGTGAGTGAGTGGGTGTGTTAGTAGGTGAATGCCTAGGTGAGTGGGTGAGTGAGTGGGTGGGTTAGTAGGTGAATGCCGAGGTGGGTGGGTAAGTGAGTGGGTTAGTAGGTGAATGCCTAGGTGAGTGGGTGAGTGGGTTAGTAGGTGAATACCTAGTTGAGTGGGTGAGTGAGTGGGTTGGTGGGTTTGTAGGTGAATGCCAAGGTGAGTGGGTGAGTGGGTGTGTTAGTAGGTGAATGCCTAGGTGAATGGGCGAGTGAGCGGGTGGGTTAGTAGGTGAATGCCGAGGTGAGTGGGTGAGTGAGTGGGTGGGTTAGTAGGTGAATGCCGAGGTGGGTGGGTAAGTGAGTGAGTTAGTAGGTGAATGCCTAGGTGAGTGGGTGAGTGGGTTAGTAGGTGAATACCTAATTGAGTGGGTGAGTGAGTGGGTGGGTGGGTTTGTAGGTGAATGCCAAGGTGAGTGGGTGAGTGGGTGTGTTCGTAGGTGAACGCCTAGGTGAATGGGTGAGTGAGCGGGTGGGTTAGTAGGTGAATGCCGAGGTGAGTGGGTGAGTGAGTGGGTGTGTTAGTAAGTGAATGCCTAGGTGAGTGGGTGAGTTAGTAGGTGAATGCCGAGGTGAGTGGGTGAGTGAGTGGGTGTGTTAGTAGGTGAATGCCGAGGTGAGTGGGTGGGTTAGTAGGTGAATGCCGAGGTGAGTGGGTGAGTGGGTGAGTGAGTGAGTGGGTTAGTAGGTGAATGTGTCGATGAGTGTGGTGATTGAACACAGTGTGAATGAGGTCGAGACATTGGGACCGCAGGAGTTCTTGTTGCAGGAACACACAACCACCACCCCCCCCCAACACCCTCGTGGTTACCTCCACAAGGGGAAGGAAAGTCTCGCGGGAGAATCCAGACATGACATGGTTCCGTGTTCCGCATCCTCCCGGTCTGTCTGGGCCCCGCAGTGTCAGACGTTAGAGTTTGACTCCTGGCAGAGGTCCTGAGCCCCCACAGTCCACCACCCCGAACCCCCCTCCACGGATATTCTCCTCTCTCTCCTCCCTGCTCCTCCTCCTCCTCGTCCTCGTCTTTCCCTCCTGCATCTCTCCCTGCTGCCTCCACTTGCTCCCACCTTCCCTCCAACCCTCTCTGCGTATCCCTCTCCCCCCCCCCTTCCTCCTCCACCCTCCCTCCTCCACCCACCCCCTCCTTCTCCCCACCCCTCCCCCTCCTTTACCCCTCCCTCTCTCACCCACCCTCCCTCCACCCCTCCCTCCTTCTCCCCCCCACCCCTCCTTCTCCCCACCCCTCCCCCTCCTTTACCCCTCCCTCTCTCACCCACCCTCCCTCCACCCCTCCCTCCTTCTCCCCCCCACCCCTCCTTCTCCCCACCCCTCCCCCTCCTTTACCCCTCCCTCTCTCACCCACCCTCCCTCCACCCCTCCCTCCTTCTCCTCTCCACCCCTCCCCCTGCTCCTACCCCTCCCTCCCTCCTCCCCTCCCCTCGTGTCACGTGGGCCGCCCAGGGCCCGGCCGGGTTGCCACGCGGATGCGCGCGATGAATCAACATCGCGACTCGCTCGCTCCGCGATTCCCAATTTGAAATCGATTGTCAAATCGATCATTTGTTCCCCGGTTCCTCGATTGCTAAAGTTCAATCGGTAACGTTTCGGGCACTGGGCCTTCTTCGTAGAACATATCGAGATGGTGCGTGTGGCTTTCTATCTCTCTGGCCTCTCTGTGTACTGTGAAGAAGGGTCATTCCCCGAAACGTCGCTTATTATACATTGCATTAAGGCTACACGTGTTTTAGATATATATACAGTGCAAGACGCACAATGAAGTGGTGTGAATCGGTGTGATCTGCAGTAGGTGAGCATCTCTAGCCAACAGAGTCAAAGTGACTCCCTGCGGCTCACAGCCCAATATCAGCGACTAATAACCGTTACCGGTCCTGGGCCTTTCCCTAGGTCGACTCAGCCTTAAATTAGGCGGCTGGGGGTGCTACTGGCCACACAACCCCCACGTCTGCCGTGCTAGCAAACGGCACTTGCCCCAACAGTCTATTAAAGGCTATACGGGGATCTTTGTCTTTGTGCGACAAAGACAAATATCAACGAGCCTTTGATTCACTTTCACGTAGCCTCAAGGTGAACCTAACTAAAAACTAAACTTGTTTTTTTATTTAACCAGGTAAGGCCTACTGGGCTATATTGCTCTTTTTCAGATAGCTCAACGAAGAGGATAGTCACGTGGACATTTGATAACAGCATCCAAATACTCTCAAGCGCCTGTCGTTCACAATTTTAAACGTGCAGGGAAAAACCGGAGGACCAGGAGAAATAAGTATAACCCGTAAAAACAAAGTTTTTCACTCTAAATCCTTAATATGCGTGGCGGCTAGAGTCCTCTCGTTCTCTGGCTTGAGATGGCTGCCACCTATGGGTCAGATGATTGTCCGCAGTATTAAACAATTGGTAATTAAATATTTAATTTGTTTTCCCTAAACAGTGTCTCGCACAACGAGTCTGTGTGCCAAATGTTAGCTCGATTGGATCACGGGAAGTGGGTTAAAAAACGACCGAGAGGTTTGCACGGTCGTAACCAAGCAAGCAAGCACGCAAGCACGCAAGCAAGCGAACTTAATATAAAGGATTTTAAAAAAAGCTCGCGATCGAAACCACGACCTCCTGTAGACCAATGCGAGGTGGTTACCATCTCACTGCCACGGCGCACCTAGCCTGGCACAAGCGATGGCTATTGTCTTTGCCCCAACAGTCTGTTAGAGGCTATACGGGGATCTTTGTCTTTGTGCGACAAGGACAAATATCAACGAGCCTTCGATTCACTTTCACGAGGCGTTAGGTGACCGTCTCCTGTGTGCAGCCCTGCAGAGCCAGTGGTGGACATTCCACATTCCTTTGGCGGGGCTGTGTCGAGAGGGGCTAATCTATTCATAGCGCAACCACCGTAAACTGTACCACTAAGTGATGAATTCTTGGTTCTTTCGGTAAAGTCACGTAGAATGGAAATAATAAAGTAATAAACATAAAACATAATAAATTAATATAATATAATAAAATTATTTATTTTTATTACTTTATTATTTCCATTCTACGTGACTTTACCGAAATAACCAACAAGATGAATCCCTGCAGTCACGAAAGCTTTAAACCACTAAGTGATACTTATTTTATAGACCCCACCCCGAAGAGATGATGCTGAGTCAACCCCTCGCCCCCCAAACCCCCAGTCCCGCCAGCCGGACCAGGAGTCGAACTCGCACTCCTTCAGCTTACGAGCCTTTCTCTCTCTCTCTCAACCAGCCGATCCTCCTTGCACGATCGTGGGGGATCTATTTGGGGAATTCGTTGTATGTATGTTCGTGCGTAGAACTTATTTCGCACCGTACGTAGCCAACCATGCTTATCGGAGGTGCCGGGGGGGAGCGGGGGTTGAAAGGACAATCAACTGAACACAAAAAGCAATTCTAAAACAATCGTCTTGAATCTGGATGATGTAAAAGTGCATAGCTCCTTAATGTCGGGAGGAAGAGCGTTCCAGACGGCCCTGCACCTGAACGCGCCCGATGCGGCCTTTGTCCGATGGCGAGCAGCCAAAAGCCACCGCCGCTGCTGCTGCTGCTGCTACTGCCGCTGCTGCTGCTGCTACTGCCGCTGCTGCTACTGCTGCTACTGCCACTGCTGCTACTACTGCCGCTGCTGCTGCTGCTGCTGCTACTGCCGCTGCTGCTGCTGCTACTGCCGCTGCTGCTGCTGCTACTGCTGCTGCTGCTACTGCCGCTGCTGCTGCTGCTGCTGCTGCTACTACTGCCGCTGCTGCTACTACTGCCGCTGCCGCTGCTGCTGCTGCCGCTGCCGCTACTGCTGCTGCTACTGCCGCCGCCGCCGCCGCCGCCGCCGCCGCCGCCGCCGCCGCCGCCGCCGCCGCCGCCGCCGCCGCCGCCGCCGCCGCCGCCGCCGCCGCCGCCGCCGCCGCCGCCGCCGCCGCCGCCGCCGCCGCCGCCGCCGCCGCCGCCGCCGCCGCCGCCGCCGCCGCCGCCGCCGCCGCCGCCGCCGCCGCCGCCGCCGCCGCCGCCGCCGCCGCCGCCGCCGCCGCCGCCGCTGCCGCTACTGCCGCTGCTGCTGCTGCTACTGCCGCCGCTGCTGCTGCTGCTACTGCCGCCGCTGCTGCTGCTGCTACTGCCGCCGCTGCTGCCACTGCCGCTGCTACTGCCGCTGCCGCTGCCGCCGCCGCCGCCGCTGCCGCCGCTGCTGCTGCCACTGCTGCTGCTGCTACTGCTGCTGCTGCTGCCGCTGCCGCCGCTGCCGCTACTGCTACTGCTGCTACTGCCGCTGCTGCCGCTGCCGCCGCTGCCGCTGCTGCCGCTGCTGCTACTGCTGCTGCGAGGATGACGAGCGGAGTTGGCGTCACGACGCTTCGTGCTCCTTGGCGAGACCGGCGAAAGGTGTCGCGGTTGATTTGCGGCGAGCACTTTGGGCGTAACGAGTTAATGACCTCTGTCCACACGTCTCAGCGGGACGAACCCGGGTCCCATTTAGCACCAGGGACTAGGGATCCCCACCGGGCTCGTGCCTTGCTATGAATGAAGGACATCGGCACCGTCAACAACAAGATGATCTTTTTGTCAAGACGCTCTTCGCCCCTCCATCCCAACATAAAAAGTCGCTCCAAGCCTGGGGCGTTCCATTCAGACTCTGTCACCTTGACAGACCTGTTCTTCACCTGAAGACGGCTGCTTGCGTTGTGGCCGAAACGTCGTGAGAATTATTTTATTGTGTTTTATTTTTATTATTTTATTATTTCCCTTCTACGTGACTTTACCGAAAGAACCAAGAAGAAAAAAACAACATGATCATCATCAACATCGTTATCTTGCTATGGTCCACTGCTGGATGAATGACCTCCCCGAAGGCCCGTGGCCACCTCTTCCACGATCGCGCCGTACGATGAACCAAGCTGCGACCCAAGCACGCACGGCTCTCCTTGGCAGACGTGCTAATTGTTCTAAAATACGTAATTACATTCCGTGTTTGTGTGTATAATTACATATTAGGGGCCCGTCCATAAATGACGTCACGCACCTTGATGTGTGACGAGGGGGGGGGGGTTGAGAAATGTGACGTCACGTAAAAATGCGCAACTTTAAATAAATATAGAATTGTTATAACAACACTAATTGTTATAACAACACTCCTACAACATCAGAGTGCAGCACCACATTAAATACGCACTACAATGACAATAGTTTAAAGCGATTTCAAACATGTTATATTTTAAAAATGGAAATATTTTTTTTTTGGGAGGGGGGCAGAGCTTTGTGACATCATATTTGAGGGGGGGGGGGGTCTGACTTTTTGTGACGCCGTGTGACGAGGGGGGGGGGGGGTCAAAAATCGTCCAAAATCGCGTGACGTGAAGAACAGGTCTCACCTGAGGACGGCTGCTTGCGTTGTGGCCGAAACGTCGTGAGAATTATTTTATTATGTTTAATTTTTATTATTTTATTATTTCCCTTCTACGTGACTTTACCGAAAGAACCAAGAAGATTTCTGTTGTCAGTAACGAAATAGCGGGATGCAGACGGCGAGAGCCGCGTTCTGAATTCACCTCGCGGAGCGACACCCAACATCTCAATTAACGGAGTATCACGTTGGTTTGTGTTCGCCCGCCCGCCCGCCCGCGTGCGTGCGTACGTGCGCTTAGGGGGCACTTAGGGCGAATTGGAAGAGTCCATCTGAAGTGGCGGTGAGGGGGTGGAGTGAGAGGGGGGGGTTCAGGGTGGGGACACGGCGAGCGGTGGAGGACTGAGGGAGGAGGAGGAGGGAGAGACGAGGTTGTGACGATCGTCTCCCACCAACAGCCTCGCCTCTCCACCCGGACCCGCGCTACAACCTCTACCCCCCCCCATTCCCTGCCACAACCTTGCGAGAGGTCATCCGGCGAGAGGGGGGGGCGAGGAGGAGGAGGAGGAGTGAGAAGAGAGGACATCAACATCACGAGTGAACGATTGCTCCATAACCGTTTCACGGCTAACGCGGTGACCTCGGTGGCGGAGTTTGGGGAGCGAGGGGGGAGGAGGAATTTATTTTGTTTTTTTTTTATTGGGGGGGGGGTGCAGTAGTGGGGGTGGTGCGAGGAGGAGCTCGGGGGGGCTGAGGGGGGGTGAGTAAGGGGAGAATTGCGACGCTCAGGCGAGAGCGCATCTCTTGACGGATCGAGCAGAGGAGCGAGCGATTTAGTGAGTCCACCCCCACCCACTCGCTCATTCCTCGCGCACATCGGGAGCCCAGACAGAGACGCAGAGACACGAGGCAAAGACAGAGAGAGACACAGAGACAGAGAGAGATCATTTGATTTGAGATATTTTTGGAGGCGCGGGAGGGCGAGTGGTGAGATGTGTGGGTGGTGGTCGGGTGACAGGGCCGGATAGACGCACGCGGTTCAAGAGGCAGATGTTTAATCCTCGCTGCTAAGAGTCGAGATATCGACATGTCCGTGGAAAGAAAGAGCGACGTGAGAGAGAGAGAGAGTGGGGAGAGAGTAAGTGGACGTGAGAGATATTGATAGATCGGTTGAGTGAGAGGACAGAGAGAGAGGGTAGCATAGAGGGATACATTGAGAGGTCAGTGGGCAGAGAGACGTGAGCGAGAGACGGCGAGAGAGACAGTGGAAAAGGAGACAGAGCTGGTGGAAGAGAGACAAGATGGAGAGGTCCGTGGAGAGAAAAAGCGAGAGAGATGATAAAGAGACTTTTGACTTTTAAACAGCTTTTATTGCCGCCAGCAGCAAATGCACTGGAGGCGATTTCAACATGAAATACAGTCACCAGCAAACGAATACTCGCTCTGAATCCACGCGCTGTGGCGCAGAGAGAGAGAGAGATGAGAGGGTAGGAGAAGGAGGAGCTGGAGATGCCTTCAAGGAGCTTGCTGATTGATTGACGGGGCTCCTTAATTGAGGAGCCACTCGCTAGAAGCACCCTCTGAGTGGGTCGTGGGGGCCCCAGACACCCGCATAACCCCCCCCCATCCCCCCTCCCCCCGCCTCGAAGGTCGATCGACAGATGACTTGCAACAACAAAACAGCAACAACAACAACCGTCACTCAGTGAGGGTGAAGTCACCGCAGGCAGCGCCTCAAGTACCACGGCTAGGAGCACGTGGAGACCTGACTGAGATGACCGGCAGATGCAGCCAACCCTCGTGTGCTCCGATCCACCCCTCCACCACCATCACCACCACCATCACCACCATCATCACCACCACCATCACCACCACCACCATCACCACCACCATCACCACCACCACCATCATCACCATCACCACCATCACCACCACCACTATCACCACCACCATCACCACCACCACCATCACCACCATCACCACCACCACCATCACCACCACCATCATCACCACCACCACCATCACCACCACCATCATCACCACCACCACCATCACCACCATCACCACCATCACCATCACCACCATCACCACCACCACCACCATCACCACCATCACCACCACCATCACCACCACGACCATCATCACCATCACCACCACCACCATCACCACCATCACCACCATCACCATCATCACCACCACCATCACCACCACCACCATCATCACCATCACCACCACCACCATCACCACCATCACCACCATCACCACCACTGTGCCAGACCGCTCTGCTTTAGCCGCAACGGGGCTCGTCTCGATGTTGTGCGAGCGTGGCGCCGTTTTGAGACGAGGCTCAAAAGAAAGCTGTCTCTGGTGCGGACCAATCAGTTTCAAAGGCAATGCGTAGATTATCGGAGTACGTTTTTTTCTTGTTTGCATTCTGACAACAAGTATTGTGGTTAATGCAGACACGATTCCTCGTAAAAAGGTTTCAGTTAGGTGTTTTAACATCTTAACACCTGTTTTGTTGCCAAAAAAAGGGGAAAACCTATTATCATATTTTGGTACCGGCAAAAGGAGGTCCCATTATGTAGATAAACCATTTCGGATATCACTGCGTGACTGTCACTGATGATGACGTCACTGCGTCTCTAGGGGGTGGGTGGCCAACACCCCTCCCGGCCGCCTTTGTCTCCCCAGCGGCGATGTTTACACACGCACCAGGTACTCATTTGACGCTGAGTCGACCTAGGGGAGGCCCAGGACCGATTCAGATAATCGTCACTAGCAGTGTTTGCCGTGAGCGAGAATCGAACCCGGGTCGCCAGGTTCGTAGTGCAGCGCGCTAACCACTGCACCACCGCTCCCTACCCTATAACATATACGCACACACACACAGAGATACAACAGAGACAAAGATCCCACGTATAGCATTAGATACTTTTGGGACAAGTGCTATTCGAGAGCACACACACACACACATTTATATATATATACACACACACGTACAGACGTAATTATAAAAGTCATAATAACCGAACGGGTCTGTGTATAATTGAACGCCACGTGAATTTAGGAGATTAAGAACATTTTAAATTAGTGCTATGTTACAAATGCTACGCATTAGTTACGGCCGTTAGATGCGAATGCGTTGAAGTCCGTGATTCTGCCCTCCCTACAATGTTAGAGATCTCATATATAAGTAAAAAAAAAAAATAACATTGAATAATAATTATACTTATTAATAATTTAATGGACACACTGTGCCATCTGGGATCCTGGATTTGGATCAAAAGACATCGCTGATGGGTGAGATAATTGTGAGAGATTCCGTTCGGAAACAGTTTAAAAGATCCACGGTTCATCGCAGAATTAGCAAACGCACTTTTTTTTGCTTGAGAGACGACGAAAATATATCCCCCTCCTCTTACGAGTTACCACGCAAATTAAAATTAACTACCTAAACTGACAGTTAATTGCCCGTTGCTTAACATGCAAAATGTTGCTTTCTTAAAAAAAAAGAAAATCTCACTTCCTGCATCGTAGCCTCCACGCTGAGGCTGGTTGGCACGCGCGCGTGAGTGTGTGTGTGTCTGTGTGTGTGTCTGTGTGTGTGTCTGTGTGTGTGTCTGTGTGTCTGTGTGTACACGCGGTAGTCGGTGTGTAAACATCGCTACTGGAGAGACAAAAGCGGCCGGGCGTGGTGTTGGCCACCAACCACCTCGTGTGCCGTGCCGGCCTTCATAGGTGCTCGCAAACAGCACTTGCCCCAACAGTCTGTTCAGGCTATACGCGGGATCTTTGTCGGTTTGTGTACACGCTCGTTCTCATGCCGGGGGCCGAGCACATCCGACATGTAATACGTATATGTCTTAAGTGAATAGATAAATACTTAGCTCTGTGTAGGGGTGGGTGGGTGCGTGGTTGGGTGGGTGGTTGGTTGGTTGGTTGGGTGGTTGGTTGGGTGGGTGGGTGGGTGGTTGGTTGGGTGGGTGGGTGGTTGGGTGGTTGGGTGGGCGCGTGGTTGGGTGGGCGGGTGGTTGGGTGGTTGGGTGGGTGGGTGGGTGGTTGGTTGGTTGGGTGGTTGGGTGGGTGGTTGGGTGGTTGGGTGGGTGGGTGGTTGGGTGGTTGGGTGGTTGGGTGGGTGGTTGGGTGGGTGGGTGGTTGGGTGGGTGGTTGGTTGGTTGGGTGGTTGGGTGGGTGGTTGGGTGGGTGGGTGGTTGGGTGGTTGGGTGGGTGGGTGGGTGGTTGGGTGGTTGGTTGGGTGGGTGCGTGGTTGGGTGGATGGATGACAACATATCTTGACTTGTTCAAAATCACTTTTTTGTGCTTTTTTTCGTTTGTTTGTTCCAGTTGTTCGGGACTAAAGTGAGGGATCACGCGGCTCGCGCTGGCGAACGAACCTCCTCGAACATTCCACGGTGGCAATTCATCGGTGAGTCACTCCGGCCGTGACACGGTTTGCCTGGCTTTGAATTATCCCTCGCTGGGGTGGAATATCCAGCGGAATATAAATATTAATTTTGATGATAACGGTAGTAGTAGTAGTAAAACATAATAATAGAATAACGCGGTTAAAGTTAATTGAATCGCAACTTATTTTGATGAATTGTTAGTGTTTGCTTATATGTGTGTGTGTGTGCGTTGTCAATCACTGGCGTTGCGGCTGGAATATAAACTAAGGGAAGGTTTATCTTTGTTAAGGTTTATTTACTTTAAATAAACGTATCATGTTTATTATTTTCCTACTCTGCGCGCTTATAGAGGATTGCCATGTGTACACGTACCGCTTCGTTAAAACAACAACAACAACAGCGAATCTAAATGTTCGTTTGTTCGATGAACAGTTCGCATTTTTCTTCTTGGTTCTTACGGTAAAGTCACGTAGAATGGAAATAATAAAATAATAAAAATAAAACATAATTAAATAATTCTCACGACGTTTCGGTCACAACGCAAGCAGCCGTCCTCAGACAGAGTCTACTCGACAGACCTGGTCTTCACCTGAGGACGGCTGCTTGCGTTGTGGCCGAAACGTCGTGAGAATTATTTTATCATGTTTTATTTTTATTATTTTATTACTTCCCTTCTACGTGACTTTACCGAAAGAACCAAGAAGATGAATCCCTGCAGTCACGAAAGCTTTAAATCGAAATTTAGTTCGAATTTCTCCCGTTGTGTTAATTTTGGAAAAAAAACAGTTGCGTGAGACTCTCTGACTTTACCGACTAAGTGTGTATCAAACGTCTTTCCCCCACCCCCCCCCCCCCATTGGGCTGCATGAAGACAAAGGGTCGTAGCCCGAAACGTCGCCCTCATTGACATTTGGAGCGGCTGTTGTTTTACGAAGGCCGTGTTAATGAGGACGGTGGTGGGATTATTTTGTTTCTTTGTTTTGATTGCGATGCCGAGAAGATTACGTGCGGTGATTTAGCAAGATAAGCATCGTCCACTATATCAACAACAATATCAACAACCAGATCAACAACAATATCAACAACAACATCAACAACAATATCAACAACAACATCAACAACCATATCAACAACAGCAGCAATAGTAACAAGATAAAGAGAGGATTAAGAACGTTCGTTTTGATCGAGCGCGTGAATTTCTGTCAAAGTTTTTGCAAATGAAAGAAACACCGAGATTAATTAAAACAAACCGCGTGCTGACACACATCAACAAGAACGGCAACAGTAGCGACAAACAATATCAAATAAACGACGGTAACAATTACGATTGATTGCATGGACCTCGTTAAGCTTGTGCTGATTATGAATTGAGATATATTTGCAAACCAACTTCGCCGTTGGCATCTGCTCTAATCAAAACCGTGACCTGAACAACAACTCAACAACAACAGCAACAAACAACACAATATCAACAACTCTGAAAGTATTCTTGGTTCTTTCGGTAAAGTCACGTAGAAGGGAATTAATAAAATAATAATAATAAAACATAATCAAATACAATTCTCACGACGTTTCGGCCACAACGCAAGCAGCCGTCCTCAGGTGAAGAACAGGGCTGTCGGGAAGCTTCAAATCGAAATTTAACTCTGAAAGTGTTCATTATCGGACCCGAGTTGAAAACCTATTTTTTCAATATTTTGCCGTGAAGACTCAAACTCTTCCAACACCACCACCACCACCACCGCCACCACCCACCGCACAAACAATCCCCCCCCCCAAAAAAATCACTTCCAAGTCATCAGCGCTCGGATGAACCGCACGTACGCTGCCCACTGCGGCCGCGGCGCGGATTCAAACGAATCTGGCGGCTAGCCAGCCCCACCAAGAGCCGGCGAACTGACTCCAACTCGCGCGCGATGCCGGCCCCCTCGGCGCCCTGGTCCATGCACGCCACCGCGGCCGCGCAGAGGCGATGCCTCCTCTTGCTGAGGCCTCGCCCCGTCCGGCCTCTCAGATTCCTGGCCCTCTTGGCTCTCTACCTGTCCGTCGGGAGTCTTCTGCTCTCCCACTCGGCACCCCTCGTCGCCCGTCTCGCCGCCAGGGCTGGGGTCGCTGCCGGGAGTGGTGGTGGTGGTGGTGGTGTTGGTGGTGGTGGTGTTGGTGGTGTTGGTGGTGGTGGGGGTCACGTGGTGGTCTCGACAGCCGTCTTGGAGGAGCCTTCAGGAGCTCCCTTGGAGGGGACCCTGCTGCAGCAGCAGAAGCAGCTGCAGCAGCAGCAGGGGGCTGCGTTGGGCGTCGGCATGTGGACCTCAAGGGGGTCCGTGTCGGAAGGGACTCACAGAGATGGTGAGGTGCTGGTGGTGTTGTGGGTGATTGTAAGGTGGTGGTGGTCGTGGTGGTGTTGTGGGTGATTGTAAGGTGGTGGTGGTGTTGTGGGTGATTGTGTGGTAGTGGTGGTGTTGTGGGTGATTGTGTGGTAGTGGTGTTGTGGTTGATTGTAAGGTGGTGGTGGTGTTGTGGGTGATTGTGTGGTAGTGGTGTTGTGGTTGATTGTAAGGTGGTGGTGGTGTTGTGGGTGATTGTAAGGTAGTGGTGTTGTGGGTGATTGTAAGGTGGTGGTGGTGTTGTGGGTGATTGTAAGGTGGTGGTGGTGTGGGTGATTGTGCGGAGGTGGTGTTGTGGGTGGTTGTGTGGTGGTGGTGGTGTTGTGGGTAATTGTGCGGTCGTATAACGACCAACACCGGTGACGATTATCTGAACCGCTCCTGGGCCTCCCCCTAGATCGACTCGGCCGTAAATGGGTTACGGGTGCGGTGTGTAAATATCGTCGATGGGGAGATAAAGGCGGCCGGGCGCGGTGCTGGCCACCCACCCCCCTCATGTGCCGTGCCGGCCTTCATAGCTGCTCGCTAACAGCACTTGCCCCAAAAGTCTGGTAAGACTACACGGGGGATCTTTGTCTTTGGTGAGTCTGGTAGCAATGGCGTGTAGAGTTGGTGAGGTTGATGATGATGATGTTTGTTATTTAAGATTAAGATGATGATAACAATGATGATGATGTTTACGATATGTTAAATTTGATGATGATTACCTTTGATTTACAATTTTTAACTCGATGCTGCTGACGATAATATTGATAATTATGAGACAAGTGAAGTTAATTGTCACAATAATCATTCAGGACGTCCAACCACAACAGTAATACCACCACAACCACCGTTATCACCACCACGACCATCACCACCACAATTACCGTCATAACCAGCACCACAACCATCACCACCACTACCACAGCTACCGCCACCACCACCACCACTATCACCAGGACCATCATCACCACCACAGTTACCGCCACCACTATCACCACCACCACCACAACTACTGTCATCACCACAACCACGAAGACCATCACCATCAATATCACCACCACAATTACCGTCATCATCACCACCACCACAATCACCACCACAATTGCCATCATCACCACCACGCTAATCACCACCACCACAATCACTACCACAATTACCATAATCACCACCACGTCCATCACCACCACCACCAACACAATCACCACCACAATTACCATCATCACCACCACGCCAATCACCACCACCACAATCACCACTATCACCACCACAATTGCCATCATCACCACCATCAACACAATCACCACCACAATTACCACCACCACTGCAATTACCACCACAATTACCACCATCACCACCACGCCAATCACCACCACCTCAATCACGACCACAATTACCAGAATCACCACCACCATCACTACGGCCGCATCTCCCTGAATCTCCATCCGTCAACTCCCCCCTTCCCCTCTTAACCGCACTCCCCCCTCCACCCGCAGCTTCGCCCCCCGCCGCCTTTCCAGGGCTACCCCGCGGTGGTGGAGGTGGTGGAGGTGTTGGTGGTGGAGGTGGTGGTGGTGGTGGAGTTGGTCCGGACGAACCCTTCTCTGGGGGGGCTCGCATCATCAAGTACCGGCCCCCCTGGATGCGTCAGCGAGCCGAGGGCAGCGAGCGTCCTCAGGGAGGATACGGGGGGGCAGTGCAGCCCCCCCTGCCCGGAGTCATGGGGGGCAGCGGTGGCGGTGGCGGTGCGAGAGCTGCAAGCGAGCAGGACGAGTCCGGGAAAGGTGAAGACGAGTTCACCATCATCATCACCATCATCATCTTCATCACCATCATCATCATCACCATCATCACCATCATCACCTTCTCATCACCACCATCATCACCATCATCACCATCATCATCATCAGCACTATCACCATCATCATCACCATCACCACCATCATCATCTTCACCACTATCATCTTCACCTTCATTACCATCACCACCATCACCATTTTCATCACAATCATCATCATCATCATTTTCACCATCATCATCTTCACCATCTTCATCACCACCATCATCATCATAATTTTCATCACAATAACCATCACTATCACCACCATCATCATCAATTTCACCACAATCATCATCATCACCACCACCATCATCTTCACCGTCACCTTCACCATCATCATCATCACCACCATCATTTTCACCACAATCATAATCACCATCACCACCATCATCACCAGCATTACCATCATCACCACCACTATCATCATTAATACAAACTCCACTCACACTCACTCACACCCTCACTCACACTCGGCAGAACGCACGAGTCGGGAATCGAACCTCGGGGCATCTTGCTGTGAGTGCGCGAGTTATTTTATCATGGTTAATTTTTATTATTGTATTACTTCCCTTCTACGTGACTGTACCGAAAGAACCAAGAAGATGAATCCCTGCAGTCACGAACGCTTTAAATCGAAAAAGTGCGCCAGTTATTTCCACTCATCATCGTCATCATCGGGATTGGAGAGTGCGTACACCCCGCTGATCCCCAGCACTGCATCTAACACCAGGGGTGTGATTGACATGGATGTTATTGACAGGGATGTGATTGACAGGGATGTGATTGACGGGGATGTGATTGACGGGGATGTGATTGACAGGGATGTGATTGACAGGGATGTGATTGGCAGGGATGTGATTGACAGGGATGTGATTGACAGGGATGTGATTCACAGGGATGTGATTGACAGTGATGTGATTGGCGTGCGTCAGCAATTAGTGACACGTGCTCGGTTATCTCTGATTGGAGAGGGGGTGGGGGGGGGAGTGGGGGGAGGCGGGGGAAAGGGGGGGGCGATGGGGGGGGAGGCGGGGGAAAGGGGGGGGGGCGATGGGTGGAGGAGGCGGCGAGTAAAGGTGTCAAGGCCCAAGGTGGATTAAGGATATGTTTGCATACATACAAAGATACAGATCCCCCGTATAGCCGGAACAGACGGTTAGGGCAAGTGCTGTTAGCGAGTGGCGCCTATGAAGGCCGGCACGGCACACGAGGGGGTTGGGTGGCCAGCACCACGCCCGGCCGCCTTTGCCTCCCAAGTGACGATGCTCACACACCACACCAGGTACTCATTTGAGGCTGAGTCGACCTAGGGGAGGCTCAGGACCGGTTCATATAATCGTCACCGCAGCGGAGCGCTAACCGCTGCACCACCGCTCCGCATACGGATAGCCACGCTCAACACTCATCCCTCTCCCCCCTCCTGCACCCCGCCCCTCCACCCCCAACTACCCAACCTCCAATTTAGAATCTGTCAATTACACGGGGCATTTAAATTCACGACACACACACCACACACGACTGGGATAAGTACTACGCGAGGGTTTTACGGTAGAATTTGTTTATAATTATCTCGGTACGAAGATAGGCGACCAGCTGCCACTGGCCGCCCATACACAGCACCGCTAACAGCCTCGCACACAGCTACACACAGCACTGCTAACAGCCTAAAACACACAGCTACACACACACAGCTACACACAGAGCATTGCTAACAGCCTCACACACAGCTACAGACAGCTACACACAGCTACACACACAGCTACAGACACAGCTACACAAACACAGCTACACACACAGCTACACACACAGCCACACACACAGCCACACACACAGCTACACACAGCACTGCTACACACACAGCTACACATAGCTACACACACAGCTAAACACAGCACTGCTAACAGCCTAAAACACACAGCTACACACACACACAGCTACACAGAGCATTGCTAACAGCCTCACACACAGCCACACACACAGCTACACACACAGCTACACACACAGCTACACACAGCACTGGTAACAGCCTAAAACACACATCTACACACACAGTACTGCTAACAGCCTCACACACAGCTACAGACACAGCCTCACACACAGCTACACACACAGCCTCACACACACAGCTACACCAACAGCGTTGCTAACAGCTACACACACACAGCGTTGCTAACAGCCTCAGACACACACAAACAGCGTTGCTAACAGCTACACACACAGCGTTGCTAACAGCCTCACACACACACAGCTACACAAACAGCGTTGCTAATAGCTACACACACACACACACAGCCTTGCTAACAGCCTCACACACACACACAGCGTTGCTAACAGCTACACACACACACACACAGCCTTGCTAACAGCCTCAGACACACACACACAGCGTTGCTAACAGCTACACACACACACAGCCTTGCTAACAGCCTCACACACACACACAGCGTTGCTAACAGCTACACACACACACACAGCATTACTCACAGCCTTGCATAGCCAAAGCTCCTCCGGCTAGCCTCAACCGGCTGTTGGGGCAAGTGCTGTTGGCGAGCACCTGTGAAGGCCGGGACGGCACACGAGGGGGTGCGGCTGGCATTCTGCTGTAGCAGAAGGGTCATTGCCCGAAACGTCTCCCTCTGATGTATTTCTTGATCGTTTTTTAAAGTCACGCCCCAGTGTTGCTGCTTACCGATGTGTTGTGGATTTTGACGCTTTCGCTGCTGGTGCATCTAAAATAACATCGCCATGTATTTATTCTAGATTTGAAGCTTTCGTGACTGCAAGGATTCATACTCTTAGTTCTTTCGGTAAAGTCACCATGTAGGTAAAAAATGAAAATAAAATTAATAAAAATAAAACAATAAAAATCACGACGTTTCGGAGGCAACACAAGTCTCCGTCATCAGGATGGGCATAGGACTCAAAAACAAACGATTATTATAATTTGTCTCATATCATTCGAATCGAATTGATGTTCCATTAAAGGTAAAAGCGCAGCCCCTGCAATGGCTCGCTCACGCCTCCGCTGGCGGAAGAGGCTTCCCCTGCAGGGGGCTCTAGACGCCCCCCCTCCAACTCCCCCTCCCCCCGGCCCCCATGTAGTGGACGGTATACTTGGCCTACTCTTCCACTCACGCGCCAACGGTTGAACAACCGTGGTATTGGTCATGGATACCGTGCAGGGCTTATCTGGACACATAAACATTGTATTGGGGGGGGGTGGAGAATATTGGGGGGCTGGGGGTGGGGGGGCGGGGTAGTGGGGGGGGTTGAGGGGCGGGGAAGGGGGGGGGCGGGGTGGGGTAGGGGGTGGAGGGGCGGGGTAGTGGGGGTGTTGGAGGGCCAGGGAGGTGGGTTGGAGAGGCATGGAAAGGGGGGGCAAGGGGGCGAAGTGGGGGACGGAGGGGCGAGGTAGTGGTGGGGGGAAACGGGGTTGGGGGGGGGCGGGGTCACAGAGCCTTAGCTCAATATTATAAGCGGTTACCATGGTTACTAATCCTTTATATAAATGTCAGCTGTTCGGTGGTGGTCCACGTCAGTCCTCGCGGACCGGACACAGTCGATGTTGCCCTGGAAACCAATCAACACGTGGTAGCGGCACAACCTTTTTACTTTACACCATTTAGAGCCTGAAACGTTGATGTATTTTTTTTTAGTGAATCTAATCGATGCATCTGGGTTTGTTGAGAAATGTTATCTTCAAATTGTTGATTGTTGAAGGACAATATTGATGACAAACCAAACAAACTGGCTCATCGTTAACCGCCTCGTCGGGTGGCGGAGGCTATCGACGACACGAATTTAGCCAGAGCGTTAAAATAATGCCCGTTGAAGTGTAAAAATAATCCCGTTTCAGAACCACGTTCATCCAGCAGTGAATCGAACACTACTCTCCGATGCTGCTGCTGATGATGATGATGCTGTTGATGATGATGATAAAGTATCGTCAAACGTGTGCCATCCCACACGGCTGCCACCTTCTGAGGTTCCAAAAACAAAAGCGACGTGGACACATCATGCGGGACACACATCGAGAGAGAGAAGACGATCCTGGGAAAACCCGGAGCAGGTGGCAACCATCCTCACAGCCTGACCGGGGGGAGGGGTGGTGGGGGTGGAGGGGAGGGGCTGGAGAGGAGGGTGTGGAGGGGTGGAGGGGAGGGGTGGAGGGGAGAGGGTGGAGGACAAGGGGGTGGAGGGGAGAGGGTGGAGGGGAAGGGGTGGAGGGGAAGGGTGGAGGGGGTGGAAGGGCGGGGTGGTGGAGGGGGTGGAGGAGAGCAGTGGTGGAGAGGAGGGGGTGGAAGGGAGGGGCTGGAGGGGAGGGGGTGGAGGGGAGGGGTGGTGGAGGGGGGGGTGGAGGGGAGAGGTGGAAGGGGGGGGTGGAGGGGGGGGTGGAGGGAGGGGGTGGAGGGAGGGCTGGAGGGGGGGGGGGGGAGGGGTGGAGGGGAGGGGTGGAGGGGGGGTGGAGGGAGGGGTTGGAGGGAGGGGTAGAGGGAATGGAGGGGTGAGGAGAAGAGTGGGTAGAGGGGAGGGGTGGTGGAGGGGGGGTGTGGAGGGGAGGGGGTGGAGGGGAGGGGTTGGAGGGGAGGGGGTGGAGGGGAGGGGTTGGAGGGGAGGGGTTGGAGGGGAGGGGGTGGAGGGGAGGGGTGGTAGAGGCGGGGTGGTGGAGGAGTTGGAGGGGAGGGGTGATGGAGGGGAGGGGTGGAGGGGAGGGGCTTGCATATACGACTACGTCATTCCCAAACCTCGAGTCTAATCGGGCGAGCACCAAGGTAGAACTCGCGTCAAAGAAGAATGGCGGCAGATGATTAAATGCGCACGTGGTTGAGACGGGGGGTGGGGGGGGGCAGTCCCACCGGTGAAGGAACGACTCCTCGGAAGAAGAATCATTCTCCTCCTCCTCCTCGTTCCGTTAATTCATCGTCTGTCACCACCGTCGTCATCAGCAATCATCATCATCAGCAGCAGCAGTCACGGTTTCTCCACTGCTGGATGAAGGCCTCTCTTTCTCAAGGGCCCTCCCTGCGAGCCAGCGGCTTAACAATCCAGAATCAGAATATCTATTTTTTTATCCTGGGGGAATTTGGATTGGATGGTTCCATCTCCTTGATTTAATTAAAGGCATATACAGTATATAGATATAACACCGAAAATATACTGTATGTAAAATGACTCAGTTGGTTCTGCGCGATTAAAATATGAACAGCAACAAACACGACCCCACTCAGTCCATCATCAGACTGTTTGTTGTTGCTGTGATTGTTATTGTTTGTGTGTGGGCACTGGGGGGGGGGGGGGTGTAGGGGGAGAGGTCGGATCTCTACATGACAGTCTCTTGTAGCTCGCAATGTCAGGCGGGTCAGTCTCTCTCCGCCGCTGCACCCTGGGGATGCCGAGGAAGGAACGGCGGCGATTATCAACAGCATCGTAGGGCCGCTCGAGTGACAGATGGAGATACAATTCAAATGTCAAACGAAGGACTGGGCTGGTCACCCTCCCCCTTCTCTCTCCTACTCCCCATTCCCTCCCACCCCCATCCTCCGTCTCCCCTACCCCTCCACACACTCCCCTCCAGCACCCCCTCCCCTCCGGCCCTGTAAATTCGCCCTGCATGTGTCCTCGTGTCAATCATCAAGGCTCGCAGCGCCGGGCGCTAATTACAAAGGGATTAGTGGCCGCGGGGACACGCGCCGTGTCGGTCCTGCGGCCTGGTCGCGTCTGTTATGGGCTCGGTGCGTCGGGTAGTCGGATCATACGGTGGACTCACCCACACGCTCACATTCACCCACTCACTTACCTCACCACTCACCCATTTACTCGCTCACCCACGCACTCACCCCACCCACCGCACTCAACCACCCACTCCACTTAACTCACCCCACCCTGACTTACCACTCATCATTACTCACTCCCCCACCCATTCAGCTCACCCACCCCACTCATCTCACCTACTCACTCACCCACCCATTCACTCACCCATGCCTTCACTCAGCCCACCCACCCATCATCCACACCACTCACTCACCCACTCACTCACTCCACTCACCCACCATTCACCCACTCCAACCCCGTCACTACTCATCATCCCACCCAATTTCCACTCACCACCTACTCACCACACTCACTCACACTCACCTACTCACTCACCCACCCTATTCACTCACCACACTTCAACCTCACCACCCACTCACTCACCCACTCATTCACCCCCTCACTCACACCGACTCACTCACCCACTCACTCACTCACTCACCACCCACCACCACTCACTCACCCACTCACCCACCTCCCACCTCACTCACCCACTCACTCACCTACTCACCCATCACCCTCCCACCTCACTCACCCACTCACTCACCCACCCACTCACTCACCTACTTACGCCACTCGGCGTCCGGTGTCTCGTCAGCACGTTTTTATCCCTCTTTCTTTCTGTTTATTTATCTGAAGTCACACGGCACTCACTACCAACCCCGCCGCCGCCCCTGCCTCACCTCCCTCTGGGGATGTTTGCCACTGCGGAGTCTAAATGATTTAGCTTCAAGGGCGCTGATGCGCGAACATCGAGGGTTCTTCTTCTTGCATACCGGGGGGGGGGGGGGGGCTCAACGGTGGTGAGTGCGGGCCGTGGACTTACTGCGCGCGGAGACGCGAACATTGAACACGGACACGCAGAGAGACACGGGCACGCGGGAGACACACACACACGCAGAGAGACACACATACACAGAGACACACAGAGACCGACACACACACAGAGCCAGACACACACACACAGAGACAGAGACAGACAGACACACAGAAACAGACACACACATACACAGATACACACACAGAGACACACATACACAGAGACAACACATACACAGAGACACACATACACAGAGACACCACAGAGACAGACACACACATACACAGAGACACACATACACAGAGACACACAGAGACAGACACACACATACACAGACACACACATACACAGAGACACAGAGACAGAGACACACAAAGACAGACACACACAGAGACAGACACACACATAGACAGACACAGAGACAGAGGACACACAGAGACAGACTGACACACAGAAACAGACACACACATACACAGAGACACACATACACAGAGACACACCGAAACAGACAGACACACAGAAACAGACAGACACACATACACAGAGACACAGACAGACAGAGACAGACAGACAGACACACACACAGACAGTTCACCATGGGACCATTGGCAGTCCAGTTTACTGTGTTCAGGACTCGGCAACCTGCAGGTCATCAAGGACCGCGCTTCGTGAGCGCCAATGTAACGGCAGCGCCACGTTTCGTAGTCACCACCACAGCGCAATGCGCCCCTTGAAATGTTGAAGTGTTATATCGACCGCCTTTGTCTCCCCAGTGGCGATGTTTACATACCGCGGCCAGGTACTCATTTGAGGCTGAGTCGACGAGAGGAGCCACAAGGGACCGGTTCAGATAATAGTCACCGGTGTGGCCGTGAGCGGGAATCGAAACCCGGGTTGCCGGCTTTGTAAGCGCAGTCGTATCGCTAACCGTGACACTACCCGCTCCCCACATCCAAACAGACAAAAAAGGACAAAGAACCCCGTATAGCCTTCACAAACTGTAGGGGCAAGTGCTATTAGCGAGCACCTATGAAGGCCAGAAACGGTACACGAGAGGATGGGTGGCCAGCACCACGCCCGACCGCCCGCCCTTCTCTCCCCAGTGGCAATGTTTAACACACGACACCATGGTACTCATTTGAGGCTGAGTCGACCTAAGAGAGGCCCAGGACCGGTTCAAATAATCGTCACTGGTGTTGGCCGTGAGCGGGAATCAAACCCAGGTCGCCAGGTTCATAGCGCAGCGCGCTAACCGCTACACTACCGCTCCCCACACACAGACACACACACAGGCACACAGACACACACACAGACACGTTATACATAGACACCCAAAACACACGCGCTTGCCGTTGTATAGCAACATTAAGCTGCGAGGTTGTAATCGATCCTTTAATGATTTTTTCTCACCTCGTGTAAACAACCTTGCCGGCCAATGACCACTATTAGGGTCGAAAGAGGGAGAAAAAAACACCTCCAATTACAGAGGCGGCTAATACATATACCGTAGTTGCGTTCTCGACACATTTAGTTAAGGGCCTGCATCGAATTAAGGGTGTGGGAGCAGTGGTTAGCGCGCTGCGCAAAACAAAACGTAAAGACGCGAACGACAACAAAAGTCATCACAACAAACTACGGTTGTTTTAAAACTATGGGCACAATTTCAAAGCAGTATATTTAAGGATGGCAACATGCTACATCACACGCAAAGTTACAAACGGTTGCAATTTGGATTGGTGGGGCTGGTATGGGAAGGGGCTGGTCACCCCGTGGTGCCTATAAAACTCAACGTTCACCTACTCACGCCGGCTTGTGCCCGCCCTCACAGTCGGGCATATTTTGCGGAATACACCACGCCGCCGTTGACCCTGGCCATTGACCGAGCAACCCGACGTTCTACAGCTGCCTCCGCAGGAATGTGTTTGGAGTTGTGTGTCTCTCTCCCCGTGGTCGCGGGTGGATTTTCTCCGGGTCCCTGACGGTTTATATGGACGCGCGTTTAGAGTATTTCTGCTGCTGCTATAATTCTCCACGTGATGATGAGCCCGCTTCGTTGAGCTGTCATTTGTGGCAGCCCGTGTCCTTCTGACAAAAAGCTACATAAGTCAGTGGGCCTTACCTGGTCAAATAAAAATAAAAATGTTATTAACAGTTAGAAAATATATGCTTTAATGGCTTTAATGACGATTTCTCACGTGGAGAAAAAGATGGAAGGGAGGGATTTATTTACTCGGACCACAGATTTAATTCATATTCTCTAATTCTCCTCCTATCCTCGCATTCCGTCTCATCTCGTCCAGAATGAGAATAATTATGGACACTGGAGGAATCCGATGAGCTATGAAGCTCTTTTCACAGCTGCCCCCCCCCCTCCTGTCCCCCCCCCCCTGTCCCCCCCGCCCCCAGCTCGTTACGTGGGCTGCTTCGCTGATGATCCCAAGCAGAGGACTCTGCAAGGACTCGTGCTCTACGACTACCGGAAGATGACCCTCTTCCGATGTCATGACAACTGCGCCGATCGGTGAGCTTGGGAGGGGGGGGTGAGGTGGGGGAGGTGAGGGGGGGGTGAGTTTGGGGGGGGGTGAGTTTGGGGGGGGGCTGCGCGGGGGGGGGGGGATGTGCGTGGCTTCTTCCCTTCGCATTGAGGCGGTGAAGACCTCCCCATGCCAACATCACCACCATGATCATCACGAGCCGTGGTCTTTCAACTGCTGGATGGAACTCTCCCCACGCAAACATCACCAGCACCACCATCGTCATCACGAGCCGTGGTCTATCAACTGCTGGATGGAACTCTCCCCACGCAAACATCACCACCAGTATCACCATCGTCATCGCGAGCCGTGCTCTATCAACTGCTGGATGGAACTCTCCCCACGCAAACATCACCACCAGCGTCACCATCGTCATCACGAGCCGTGCTCTATCAACTGCTGAATGGAACTCTCCCCACGCAAACATCACCACCAGCACCACCACCGTCATCACGAGCTGTGGTCTATCAACTGCTGAATGGAACTTTCCCCACGCAAACATCACCACCAGCACCACCATCGTCATCACGAGCCGTGCTCTATCAACTGCTGAATGAAACTTCCCCACGCAAACATCACCACCAGCACCATCGTCATCACTCGCCGTGGTCTATCAACTGCTGGATGGAACTCTCCCCACGTAAACATCACCACCAGCACCACCATCGTCATCACGAGCCGTGTCTATCAACTGCTGGATGGAACTATCCCCACGCAAACATCACCACCAGCACCACCATCGTCATCACGAGCCGTGCTCTATCAACTGCTGAATGGAACTCTCCCCACGCAAAACATCACCACCAGCACCACCACCGTCATCACGAGCTGTGGTCTATCAACTGCTGAATGGAACTTCCCACGCAAACATCACCACCAGCACCACCATCGTCATCACTCGCCGTGTTCTATCAACTGCTGGATGGAACTCTCCCCACGCAAACATCACCACCAGCACCACCATCGTCATCATCGCCGTGTCTATCAACTGCTGGATGGAACTCTCCCACGCAAACATCACCACCAGCACCACGTCATCACTCGCCGTGGTCTTTCAACTGGATCGAACTCTCCCCACGCAAACATCACCACCAGCACCATCGTCATCACTCGCCGTGGTCTATCAACTGCTGAATGAACTCTCCCACGCAAACATCACCACCAGCACCACCATCGTCATCACGAGCCGTGCTCTATCAACTGCTGAATGGAACTCTCCCCACGCAAACATCACCACCAGCACCACCATCGTCATCACGAGCCGTGCTCTATCAACTGCTGATGGAACTCCCCACGCAAACATCACCACCAGCACCCGTCATCACTCGCCGTGGTCTTCAACTGCTGGATCGAACTCTCCCCACGCAAACATCACCACCAGCACCATCGTCATCACGCCGTGGTCTATCAACTGCTGAATGGAACTCCCCACGCAAACATCACCACCAGCACCACCATCGTCATCACGAGCCGTGTTCTATCAACTGCTGGATGGAACTCTCCCCACGCAAACATCACCACCAGCACCACCACCGTCATCACGAGCCGTGGTCTTTCAACTGCTGAATGAAACTCTCCCCACGCCAACATCACCACCAGCACCACCATGATCATCACTCGCCGTGGTCTTTCAACTGCTGGATGGAACTATCCCCACGCAAACATCACCACCAGCACCATCGTCATCACGAGTCGTGGTCTATCAACTGCTGGATGAAACTCTCTCCACGCAAACATCACCACCAGCACCACCATCGTCATCACGAGCCGTGCTCTATCAACTGCTGAATGGAACTCTCCCCACGCAAACATCACCACCAGCACCACCACCGTCATCACGAGCTGTGGTCTACAACTGCTGAATGGAACTTCCCACGCAAACATCACCACCAGCACCACCATCGTCATCACGAGCCGTGTTCTATCAACTGCTGGATGGAACTCTCCCACGCAAACATCACCACCAGCACCACCATCGTCATCACGAGCTGTGGTCTATCAACTGCTGGATGAAACTCCCCACGCAAACATCACCACCAGCACCACCATCGTCATCACGAGCCGTGGTCTTTCAACTGCTGAATGAAACTCTCCCCACGCCAACATCACCACCAGCACCATCGTCATCACGAGCC